GACTGGAACAAAAGCAAAAGAGTGTCCTAAAAATGTCTCTCTGAGCGAGAGATACCGAAATATGTCCCTGATGGACTTCAACAAGGGCAACTGTAGGGTGCTGCATCAAGTGTCCTAAATATGTCTCTCTAAGTGAGAGATACCGAAATATGTCCCTGATGAACTTCAACAAAGGCAGGTGTAGGGTGCTGCACCTGGGGAGGAATAACCCCATGGACCAGGAGAGGTTGGGGGTGACCTGCTGGAGAGCAGCTCTGAGGAGAAAGACCTGGGAGTCCTGGTGGACAACAGGATGCCCACGAGCCAGCAATGGGCCCTGGTGGCCAAGAAGGCCAAGGGCATCCTGGGGGGCATCAGGAAGAGTGTGAGCAGCAGGTGGAGGGAGGTCATCCTGCCCCTCTGATCTGCCCTGGGGAGGCCACAGGCCACCACTGGGACCAGTTGTGGGCTCCCCAGTTCCAGAAGGACAGGGAACTGCTGGAGAGGGGACAGCAGAGGAACACAAAGATGCTGAGGGGCCTGGAGCATCCCTCTGATGAGGAAAGGCTGAGGGACTTGGGGCTTTTTAGTCTGGAGAAGAGAAGGCTGAGGGGGGATCTGATCAACACCTCTAAATCCTTAAAGGGTGGGTGTCAGGAGGATGGGGCCAGGCTTTTTCCAGTGGTGCCCAGGGACAGGACAAGAGGAAATGGGCACAAACTGGACCAGAAGTTCCACCTCAACATGAGGAGGAACTTCTTCACTGTGAGGGTGGCAGAGCCCTGGCAGAGGCTGCCCAGAGAGGTGGTGGAGTCTCCTTCTCTGGAGACATTCAACCCCCACCTGGACACGTTCCTGTGGGACCTGCTCTGGGTGGCCCTGCTCTGGCAGAGGGTTGGTCTCCAGAGGTCCCTTCCAACCCCAGATCATTCAGGGATTCTGTGAAATACCCAAAAGCATCCTTTCAATTCAGCCAGTCTCCTCCTGTTTATCTGCTTTAACTCGGAGCCAGCCCAATCCTCCAGCCCGTGGAAAAACGCAGCGAGAAGCTGGCCGGGGGTTGGGGGGAGGATTTTCTAGATGTTCCCATTTTTCATGAGTCAGAGAAAACATTTCTTCTCTCTGCAGCTACATTTTTACCACGGTCTGTGAGATCCTGCACCTCAAACCCATTCATCTCTGCCCGAAAAGGGAGAAGAAATTGCGTAATTCCTATTTTTCAGCCAAAAGTAGGGTCTCAAAAAATAATACGTGGCTCGACGCAGCCGAAAGGAATTCCCCCTCCAGCCACCCTCCCGCTGTCCCCGGTGTCACCTTTTTTTTTCAAAGCTAAAAAACACTCCACGAGCTGCCTTTTCTGCTCAAATCAGGAGCCGGGAGCTTGGCAGAGGCTGTTGAAATATTTATTATTTTTCTTTTTTTTTTTTTTTTTTTCCACTCACTTCTCAAATGGTAACAACAAAATAGAATTCCGGGGGAGCCCACAAGATTGGGAAACAGTCACTCGTTTTCCAATGGTGCTTCTACAGAATAAAAAAAACTGATTTTTTTTTTTTCTTGCTTTCCATCGAGTTTCTTGGTGGGTTTGTTGTTTTTTTTTTAAATATCTTGCAAATGAAAAGGAATAACAACAGGCAAATGCAAGGAGTTACAAGGAATCACTCCAAGCCAGCTCCTCCAAGTTACTTCATCAGGGAGGAATGTGACTTAACGAGATCATTGATGAAGTATGACAACAGGCACATGCTTAACTATCCCGTGAAGAGAGACTCTGGACACACACACACTGAATTATTTAATCTCTATCGATTTGAACACAAGGAATCAGCTGGAAAGGACCGAGAATTTTGCCAATCCTTCAGGATACAGCTTGGGGAAAGTGCTATTTTGCATCTCAACTACTGTAGAGCCATTTAATCCATGGGCAATTAAACCTGGGGGGGAGGGGGGTGGACGTTACATCAAGGTCACAGTAAATGAATGCAATAATTAACGGGGTGACTTACGGAGGGAAGCGCCGGGAGCCAGCAATTGCTCTTTTAACACCTGAGTGTGGTGACCAAAGTGCCAGGAGAGAGGAGAACTCTCTGGAATGAGGCTTTTTTTTTGTCTCTAATTTTCCACCTCGATGTGTTTGGGGAAGGGACACAGAGCTCAGGGTGTCCAGGGCTGATGTGTGAATGAATCAGAGATTGGTGGCTCTCCATGGGGGTAAACACCAACATCAAACTGGGATTTGCCAGCTCTTTGCACCATCTGCCTTTGCTCACCACCACCTGAACCTCTGTCCTGGTCAAAACCATGACAACCTCTCAAAAGGTTGAGAATTCCTGCTGGCTCTTGTCACAGGAAAACCACCCAGATGCAGCTCCCAAAATCAGGCCAACGAGAGAACTGGTGCCTCAGCAAAACCAGGGTTCAAAAAATCCTGCTTTCATCATCCAGCATCACGGGGGTTATGGACACAAGGCAAAAAAAAAAAACCAAAACAAAAAAAGAAAAGATTTCAGACATCCACCAGCAACGTAGTGAGGAAAAACTGCTCCAAAACGTGTCTGCTCTTATGGTCAAGAGTGATTCTTGGGTGAAAGCAACCTGAAGAACTGTCTGTGGAGGATAATTTGACCCTGAAGAAAAGCTCTCCGTGTGATTACTGCATTTACAGGGAAATATGGAAGGCAGGCAGTGAAAGGATTTAGAAAGTGACAGTGAAACAAGGTCTTTCCTCCAGTACTGGGGGTGGAGCATCACGCAGCAGCTGCCTGTGTCTCTGCATCAACATCAGCAGGACGGACTCCAAGCTCTTCCAGGGTTTTATCTACCGTGCTTTTTGCGTTCTTTTCACCCAAAAGGCGCCGATCTCTGGTCAGTTGTGTGTAGCAGCTTCAAGAAGGGAAGCACAAACCCATCACAGGGGCAGGGAATGGCCAAAGAGACAAAGTGCCCACAGACCACGTTGTTAGGGCTGCTCTTGGGTCCTCCCCATAAACCTGTTTATGTGTTTGCAGTAGATGGAGTTATCCGGGGCTGGTTTTTTCCTCAGTTGAGAAATGGAAAGAAGCAGTAAGAAAGCTGCCAGACTCTGAAACGGAGCTCACGGTGCCCCCTCCTCACCTTTTGGTAGCATCTGGGCTGTTTCCTGCAGTTTAACTCCTAAGGCTGGCATCGGTGAGACGAAACCTGAGCTCCCAACGAAGCCGATTCCTCATCTGCTTTAGGGGAAAGAAACACGTGTGTATATATATATATATGTATATAAAAACAAACCTAAGGGGTACTTCAAAAGACAATTAGACGAATTCCATGGAGAAATCCTGAAGCCTTTGGCTATGCTGCAATGCCCTCGGTGGATCTGGATGGCCAACGGCCCCTTTTGGACCGTTGGGTCCAAGAAAGCCTGAGAATCGATGGAGAATCGGTATGATGGACTACTTGGGAATTCAGGAGGTCTTTCCTTGTGGCAGCAGAGAGGAGCCCGCTTCCAAGGGCCTGAAGAGCTTTTCATGGTCTTCAGTTACCAAGCTGCTTCCCAGCAAGGAAGTCCCTAAGCATTTACACATTCTGGAGAACTAGTTCTAGGGGATGAATCTCACACCAACTTCTCACTGCCGCTGAACTGGAGAGATGAAAGGGTATGGATACATCACAGTGGCCTCTGGTGCAGTTTATTTACAACAGGACTCAGTGCTGGAGAACACCAGGGTATTAACAAGCAGGAAACACGCTAGGAGGGAAAAAAAAGAGAGCAGAAGAAAAGGTCACACATTAAAATCAAGGTATTCTCTGCAGATATTTGATTACCCAAGATCAAAGAAGGCCAAAAAGAGTCTATCGTGCAGGTTAAAATCAGCATTGATGCATTCATCAGTTTAACAACTTGTGAGCTACGTAACAGTGAGAAGCACAAAGCTTGATATGTTGCTGTCTGTGGCTTAAGGACACAGTAAGACCAACTTTTTAAAGTTTTTTAAGTTTTAAAGCTGCTTTTGCTACAGCCATAATAGCAGGAGCAACAAGCTTGGGCCTCCAAAGCCTCACAGAGACAGCAGAGGTTGCCAAATACCTGATGGAGATTCAACACTGCAATGCAGTACAGCCCTTTGGTCTCCTTCCTCTCTCACCATTTACACATCAACCTACACTGCATCCTTTCATTGGATTTAAAATATGCAGTCCCCAGTCCCCTGTTCCTGCTGTTTCATCCCCCAAAGGCACAGGATAAAGGGGAAAAAGAGAAAGAGATCATCCAGCAACGCAGACCAGCATCGCCAGTCCCTGCAGCATCACATATTTCTGGGGCTTCCAGCTTTTGTTGAACAATTCTTAGCTAAAGGCAGGAAGACTTTGCAGGGCTGCTTAAGAAACACCCCTATTTTAGGATCATCTTTCAGACGAACGGTAAAACAGATTAGCACCTTCTATGAGGTCTAAGCACTGCTTTAATTATTAGTTTTATGGTATCATAACTAAGATTCTGTGAGTTTTTCCTATCAAGCTTATCAGTCAGAGAGGTGATTGCAAAAGTCTGGCTTCTACAATTTATTGTGATATAAAACAGGATGCAGTCCTGAGTAACGTGCTCTAGCTCTAGGCAATCCTGCTTCAGCAGGGGAGTTGGACTAGATGATCTCTATGGTCCCTTCCAACTCTAAAAATTCAGTGAAATTCAGTGAAAACCACATGAGATAAGCGTGGAAAGTCTGCAAAGGGAAGCACACAGCTTCATCTGTCTGATCTCACCAGTATTTCTTGGCCAAAGAAGTGTACAGCAAGTCGCTTCCAAAACATTACTTAAATAAAATGCTATTTAAACTAAATACCATAAAGCTCGTAATTCTGCCTTCTGGCAGGCTATAAAGCAAGGAATCAGCCGGGGAGGATCTGCTTCGCTCCTCCCTTCCAAGGAAGGAGGTTTCATTAATAAGTGAGAAGTTTAGAGAGGAAAAAAAAAAAGACATCAAACACGTTACTGGCTGCGATTCAAAGCTGTTTGTTTACATGTGGTTTTTAGCTTTATGCTAAAACTCCAGCCTCTCACGTGGAGAGACAAACATGGAGGCAGCAAAGAGCAAAAAGCTCTGCTCAAGGATTGCTCCAGCACCCACTTACCACTGGAATCCACCAATGGGCTCTGTAAACCTGTGACGGATCAGAAACGTGGCGACAGCTTCAGCAACCTGAGGGAAAGGAGAGAAAAACCCCCAAAAAAATCAGTTGGAATTTGAAGGGACACAAAGACTACAAGAAATCCGGTAGTTTTCAAAATTTGCAGCATTTACAACAAGTTTGTGTCCTCAGAACCCCCTTGCTCAATCAAGTTTGTTCCTTAGAAATTAAAAGTTCTGTATAACTGGTTTATATATAAAAGAAGGAACTAAGTGTTTTCCCCCTTTACTCTGACACTGACCACACAAGCAAGAACCCACAAAACATTTTCACCACCTCTTTCAGTAATTCTTAAAAAAAATGCCTAAGGTTAGCAGGTAAAATGGGCTGGTGAAATCAGGACACGAATTATTGCTATAAAAAATAAATCGAGACAGTGAGCTGGCGGTAATAATACTGCTTAGAATGGAAGAAGTCAATATATTTAGATAAAAATCCCTATTCCAGATAGTAAAGTGAGGCACAGAAAGGCTGTTTTACACTCTCAGTGGTCAGTGTAGAACAAGCTTTAAGACCAGACGTGTTTCCAACCATGGTCAGTGTAGAACAAGCTTTAAAACCAGATGTGTTTCCAACCACAGGCTCCACTGGCTTCCCCACATTCCTGCTCCTATCTGGACACTTCAGCAGTGCCCAGAAGCAGCATTACTCTCTCTGTAAGCTCTTTTGGGAACATTTGTTTCTTATTTGGAAAATGTGAGCCACCCAACTCAGCAAAATACTCAGACCAACCCCAAAAGGCACTGGTTAGTGCAGGGGAGAGAGGAGAAATCCAGGAGGAAAGGAGGGAGGGTAAATCCACACTCCATGTGATAAGAGTTAGTCATATCACCACTAGCCCCAGAGATACATCTGTAACCCAGCCAAGCCCTGTGTCATGTTGGCCAAGAAGGCCAACCACATCCTGGCCTGTGTGGCCAGCAGGACTGGGGAAGTGACCACCGCCCTGGACTGGGCACTGGGGAGGCCCCACCTCAAGGGCTGGGTCCAGTTTTGGGGCCATCATTCCCGGAAAGATCTTGAGGGGCTGGAGTGTGTCCAGAGAAGGGCAACGGAGCTGGTGAGGGCTCTGGAGCACAAGGAGAAGGGTCTGGAGAACTTCTGAGGGAGCTGGGGGTGTTGAACCTGGAGACAAGGAGGCTGAGGGGAGACCTTCTCGCTCTCTCCAACCCCCTGAGAGGAGGGTGTAGCCGGGAGGGTCGGTCTCTTCTCCCAAGGAACAGGCCATGAGACAAGAGGAAACGGCCTCAAGTTGCACCAGGGGAAGTTGAGGATGGATACTGGGGACAATTTCTTCACAGAAAGGGTTGTGCTGGGCACAACTTCTTCATGGAAAGGGTTGTAAAGCCTTGGAAGACCCCATCCCTGGAGGGATTTCAAAGCCAGGCAGACGTGGTGCTGAGGGACATGGGTCAGTGGTGGGTTTGTCAGTGTTGGGTTGATGGTTGGACTCCATGATCTGAAAGGTCCCTTCCAACCTCGACCATTCTGATTTTGATCTTAGCCCAGATTTTCCAGCTACCTTAAAAAACGTGATTAAACCCAAGATATTCTGTGAACAGCCAGTTAAGACGTCTTGCTAAAAACCACTGCTGAAGTATCATCTCCTGGGCTGCATAGGGAAGAGTGTGGCCAGTGGGTGGACTCCATGGTCTGAAAGGCCTCTTCCAACCTCCACCATTCTGATTCTGATCTTAGCCCAGACTTTCCAGCTACCTTAAAAAAACGTGATTAAATCCAAGCTACTCTGTGAACAGCCAGTTAAGATGTCATGCCAAAAACCACCGCTGAAGTATCACCTCCTGGCCTGCATAGGGAAGAGTGTGGCCAGCAGGTCAAGGGAGGTCATTCTGCCCCTCTACTCTGCACTGGTGAGGCCACAACTGGAATCCTGCATCCAGTTCTGGGCTCCCCAGTTCAAGAGGGACAGGGAGCTACTGGAAAGGGTCCAGGGAAGGGCAACAAAGATGATTCAAGGACTGGAGCATCTCCCTTATGAGGAGAGACTGAGAGAGCTGGGACTCTTTAGTCTGGAGAAGAGAAGGCTGAGGGGAGACCTTATCAATGCCTACAAGTATCTCAAGGGCGGGCTGAGGGAGGAGGGAACCAGACTCTTTTCAGTGGTTCCCAGTGAGAGGACGAGGGGCAACGGGCACAAGTTGGAACATAAGAGGTTCCACTTGAATATGAGGAAGAACTTTTTCACAGTGAGGGTGACAGAGCCCTGGCACAGGCTGCCCAGGGAGGTTGTGGAGTCCCCTTCTTTGGAGATTTTCAAGAGGCACCTGGATGCTCCTGAGTAACATGCTCTGACAAGCTCTAGGCAATCCTGCTTCAGCAGGGGAGTTGGACTAGATGATCTCTATGGTCCCTTCCAACTCTAAAAATTCAGTGAAATTCAGTGAAATCCACTTCACAATAAGCAACGGACCCCCCCACACCATCTAAGCTCTGAATATCATGACTTCAACCCCACAGCACTGCTCACCTTGTCTGGAGCATCTTCATGGACTGCGTGGCCACACTGCGGGAGGACCTGCATCTGAAACTTCCCTGGGGATGGAGAGAGTCATCACTGGAGCTGCTTTTTTAAGTGGTCTTGATTTCTAACAGCATTGGTGCAGGCAAACACCTCTTGTGTACGCAGGAAACATCAGACACTACACCCTTAAAAGCACTGAAGTCTTCTAAAAAGGGTCTCACACTCTTTATCTCACTAAATTCATCAGGTAAAGAGGGACCATGGAAGGCACAAGAGTCTAAAACAAACTACAATACACACAGCAGCTCCAAAAGAAAGGAAGAACCAGCTGCTTAATTCATCTTCCCCAGGTGTAATTAAAACAAGGCCCAGGAGTTTAAACGAAGCTAAAGCTCTTAAGAGCTTCTCAATGCAGGTGAGACCACCTTTCAGAGCTGGAAGTGTTACCAGATGTACCTTAACGTGATGTTAATCCTGCTGCCCAATACTGCTTTCCAGTACTGGTTGCTCTGGAAATCACTTAAGCTGGGATGAGGAAAAAGAAGAAGAAGAAAAAAAACCCAAACCACAAAACCCAAACCATTAAGGCAGATGCTGAACGTTGGGCTGATGTCTGCCAGAAACACCAGACAGTTCTGGATGGTCCCAAGTGTTGTAGCTAAGAACTTCAGGAATGCAGTTAGAAAGGGAAAAAACAGATTACAAAGAAATCCTCACTGATCCAAAAGAAGGGTGACAGCCCCATTGCTGGAATCACTGAAGACTAAACTGAACAAAAACCATGGCAACAGCCCTTCACAACTTCTAATTAAACCTTTCCCTTCCCAACTTCTCCACTTTGCCTAAAACCACAGACAGAGAAGGCTTTGGGATGGACTAATTCTTTAATGCACATTTGTTTCGATACAGACTGCACCTGGGAAGAGGCCATTCCAGCTCTCTCTCATGTACCCATAGCAACAAGCTGCCATCCAAAAAAGAGCATTACAGTAAGGCCAGAGTAACAATATTAAATATTTACCTTGCATCTGTCCAATTGTTAGATCTTTATCCAGTCTGTCAACACCTACAATCAAATAAACAGATGTATTGGAGAAAAGCCAGAGAGAACGCGACTGTCTAAGCAGGGCTTTACTCAACATTTTGAAGGAGGTATTTGGCTTGAAAAACTCCAAAGAAACATCATCTCTGACACCCACGAGGACTTTTCATTACTGCACCTCAGGAGAGTAAAGTGACAGGAAGGAATCCCAGCCAAAAATGCACGAATACACCCTTCCCTACAGCTTAAAAAGGTATTTACCTCGGTTACACGCTTAATTCCCCATCAGGGCACAAAATGGGCCTAGAACTGGCTCTAAAACATCAATAATTTAACTTTCAGTTGAAAAGTTCAAATCAGACCCTTATCTGTAGGAAAATATCACAGTAGTGGAGCCTGAAGGGCAGCTTGGATGTGACTTGTTTGCTTTTCTTCCTCATCACCCAAGTCAAACGCTCACCCAACAGCAGCAACACACAGTAGGTCATTATGTGCAGTTTTGATATTAGAGGCTCTGAGCTAATTAATTCCAGGCCTGCACAGACCAAACGGACCAGTTTATGATATTTTAAGCTACGTAGAAAAGTCAAGGTGGAAGAGAGAGGTCTCAGGAAAGACATTAGCCAAAGGCTGAGCCTATTCTCTAACGTCATGTGGGACTAGAATGACCAGCCACTGAACTTAAAAAGGATGGAAAAGACACGTACCAGCTAAAAGCAAAAGCTTTGGGGTTGGACAGCTTAGAAAAAGGTTAGATAAACCCCTGAACCAGCCATCCCAGTACTTTTCTGTTTTCGCCAGTTCGATTCGCCACGTGTATAAGTGCTCCTTCTTTGTCTGCAGGGAGGAGAGAGAGCTCGGCGTCAGGCATCAGGAAAACAGCTCAAATAAAATGAACTCGGAGTGTCGCTTGGAGGGAGATATATATATTTAAAAAAATACTGGCTCCCTCTGGTGGATTGCACACTTCCAGTGGATGAGCCTCCTCAAGCCCAAATTTCTCTCCAACTCACGGATAAAATACACAAGCAAGGAACGAGAAGTCAGCAGGAGCTATGCTTAGAGATGAAGAGAAGGCAGCAGTTTTTAGGCACTCAATTTGCTATTTTTTTACTGGCACAAATAGCTCACAAATTGGTTGAACGTCCAGACTTGGCTCTTACTCAGGTGAGAGAAATACTCAAGGCTACAAGGATTTTCCTTGAGGAATTTACATTCCTAGCTTGCAATTGCCTGTAGAACCTCCTGAAGGCTACTGTGTCTTGGAAATGAACAAAAATACCACAAAGACTCAGAAAATACTTCATTCAGGCCAGAAGCCCCATTTGAGGACATATCAGCTCAGAAAGCCCCCCACATCCTGGGCTGCATCCCCAGCAGCGTGGCCAGCAGGGCCAGTGGGGGGGATTCTGCCCCTCTGCTCCGCTCTGGGGAGACACCCCCCACCCAGTGCTGCCTCCAGCTCTGGGGCCACCAACAGCAGAAGGACATGGACCTGTTGGAGCGGGGCCAGAGGAGGCCATGGAGATGCTGGGAGGGCTGGAGCCCCTCTGCTGGGAGGACAGGCTGAGAGAGTTGGGGGGGTTCAGCCTGGAGAAGAGAAGGCTCCGGGGAGACCTTGGAGCCCCTTCCAGTCCCTCAAGGGGCTCCAGGAAAGCTGGGGAGGGACTCTTGATGAGGAAGGGGAGCCACAGGAGGAGGGGGAAGGGTTTGACACTACAAGAGGGGAGATGGACATGAGATGTGGGGAAGAACTTGTTTGGTGTGAGGGTGGTGAGAGCTTGGCCCAGGTTGCCCCAAGAAGCTGTGGCTGCCCCATCCCTGGAGGGGTTCAAGGGCAGGTTGGAGGGGGCTTGGAGCAACCTGCTCTGGTGGGAGGTGTCCCTGCCCAGGGCAGGGATGGAACTGGATGGTCTTTAAGGTCCCTTCCCACCCAAACCATTCTGTGATTCTATGATATGCACTAAATCTGTGGGCATCTGAGGAAACAAAACCAAATGTATGTTTTCAGGTGACGGTCCAAGACAGAATCAGTGGCACGAGAACAAGATGAAGAATAAAACCAACAGTCACAATATAAAGTTTTTGGTCCTAAATCCGTGAGCATCTGAGGAAAGAAAACCAAACGTATGTTTTCCGGTGATGGTCCAAGACAGAATCAGTGGCACGAGAACAAGATAAAGAATAAAACCAAGAGTCACAATATAAAGTTTTTGGTCCCTGGAGTTGCTCCCTTTTATGTTGGAATGACTGGGATACCTACAGGGCTACTTCTCTTGCAAGAGAGCATCCTGCAAACATGAGCTGACAACAGAGCAAGAAACTCCCTACCTCTGTGTCATCTTCTTTCTTCCTTTTGTTGACAGAGCCTCCCCCTTCCTCATCCTCTTCCTCCTCCTCCTCTTCTTCAATAATACCTTCCACTATGGCTTTAGGACATTCAGGACTGGCAGCCCCTTCGCACCTGTGAAAATAAAACCAGAAACTCATTCCCTGCCAAAACAAACAAAAACCTTATTTTAAACGTGGGTCTTGGCAGATTTTGCCCCAGGGAAATTTTGGTCAGGTTTTCTCCTGTGACTCAGTGCAGCTGCTGGTACTAAGTGTGATCAAACGATAAGAAAATTGTATTTGCTGGAAGAAATTTTCACTTCTAAGTGCATTTACGGTCCGTATTAACAGCATCGTAAAATATACAAGACAATTTTAAGAGCTTTAAAAATAAAAAAACAAACCACTTACTGTTTGACTTGACCAACCATAGAAACTCTGGCAGATTCAAGATTTCTTATCTGGCCGCTTTTTACGCTAGAAAAAATTGGAAGGGCAGAAGGAGTTACTAAAAGGAATTAGAGAATAGGAACAAAAGCCCTTTACGCCTCACCATTTCCCAAAAAATCCTGTTCCCAGAAGGCATTTGGGGTGGCTCACGCTACGTGACAACTTTCTTGAATCCCCTGTTGTCACTGTAACTGGTAATTTAAAAGACACATGGGAGGGAGAAGCACTGATGGGGAGAGAGTGAAATAGGGTTATGCCCACCTCATGGCAGGGGATGGGGAGAAGTCAAAAAAATATGCTGGGTAATTGGTAACAGAACTGGGCTTTCTGGACTCCACTCCACAAACTGAACCGTGAGGCCTCTCCCTTTCAAATTCAGAATTAATAACCCATTTGGGAGCTTTCTCAATTGGAAATAAGTCTCATTTCGTACAGATTGGGATGTCTCCAGCTTCTTCTGTAATAGCTGGGACACTTAAAAAGAAGCTGCAGTTCATAAATGAAGCCTTCCCTTAGTTGAAGCTCTTAGAGGATCCTTCTCCAACATCTAGCCAACTCTCCCAGGAAATTAATTATCTTTGAGTCCCCTCTCTCCCTGTCAAATCAACCAAGGAATTGGTGATAATAGGTGGGGAAGTGAGCACGAAAGGAGAAAACAGCCAAATTATAAAACTTTGTTTCCTTCAGGAGTCAAGCTAAAAAGACAAGGGGTTTTGGAGACTATGTAAGCCCATACATACGTTACCTCCACTCAATGGCATTCTCAAGTGACTTGAATGTTTTGGGACGACTCCTTAAGAAGTTCTGCATGCTGTTCAACGCGTCCATGGCTGTACCTAAAAACAAGGTTTTAACTTTATGGACTCTGATTAAATTTATTGACAGGTGCCTCTATACAGAACTGGCTGCCAGGGAGCATCCTCAGAGAGAACTGGAGCTCACTTGGGATTGAAAACAATTAAGGAGAGTGCTGCCTCCAGCTCTGGAGTCCTCAGCACAGGAGAGACATGGACCTGTTGGGAACAGGTCCAGAGGAGGCCACGGAGATGCTGGGAAGGCTGGAGCCCCTCTGCTGGGAGGACAGGCTGAGAGAGTTGGGGGGGTTCAGCCTGGAGAAGAGAAAGCTCCGGGGAGACCTTGGAGCCCCTTCCAGTCCCTCAAGGGGCTCCAGGAAAGCTGGGGAGGGACTCTTGATGAGGGAGGGGAGCCCTAGGAGGAGGGGGAAGGGTTTGACACTGAAAGGAGGGAAATTTAGAGGAGATATTCAGGAGAAATTGTTTGGTGTGAGGGTGGTGAGAGCCTGGCCCAGGTTGCCCAGAGAAGCTGTGGCTGCCCCATCCCTGGAGGGGTTCAAGGGCAGGTTGGAGGGGGCTTGGAGCAACCTGCTCTGGTGGGAGGTGTCCTTGCCCAGGGCAGGGGGGTTGGAACTGGATGGTCTCTAAGGTCCCTTCCAACCTGAACCATTCTGTGATTCCATGAACATAGTACTCCTAAGCCCAAATTCATACCTGCTCCCACATTAGAAAATTAATATTTGAACAGGTGGGATATCGAGATAGTAAGAGAAGGCAGGAACCACTCACTGGCACCATGAATTACATAAAAATTACATAAAAAGCCACCCTCCTCCCCACTAACAAGAAAGTACTGCACAGAAATAAAAAGCAGCTGTTTAGAGAGAGACCTGGTGGACAACAGGTGGGCCAGCAATGGGCCCTGGTGGCCAAGAAGGCCAAGGGCATCCTGGGGGGCATCAGGAAGAGTGTGAGCAGCAGGTGGAGGGAGGTCATCCTGCCCCTCTGCTCTGCCCTGGGGAGGCCCCAGCTGGAGCACTGGGACCAGTTGTGGGCTCCCCAGTTCCAGAAGGACAGGGAACTGCTGGGGAGAGTCCAGTGGAGGATATGAAGATGATGAGGGACTGGAGCATCTCTCTGCTGAGGAAAGGCTGAGGGACCTGGGACTTTTTAGTCTGGAGAAGAGTAGACAGAGAGAGGATCTGATCAATGCTGGGCAATATCTAAAGAGCTGGTGGCAAGAGGATGGGGCCAGACTCTTCTCAGTGGTACCCAGGGACAGAACAAGAGGAAATGGGCACAAATTTGGAATATAAGAAGTTCCATCTCAATATGAGGAGGAACTTCTTCACTTTGAGGGTGGCAGAGCCCTGGAAGAGGCTGCCCAGAGAGGTGGTGGAGTCTCCTTCTCTGGAGACATTCCTGTGCAACCTGCTCTGGGTGGCCCTGCTTTGGGAGGGGGGTTGGACTGGATGATCTCCAGAGGTCCCTTCCCACCCCCACCATTCTGTGATTCTGTGAAATTATCAGGAAAAAAAGCAAACACAGAGCCCATCTGGGAAAAGCAAAACCAGGGCTCACACTAGAAGGACTTCTGCGTAGGCAGCATCTGTTTAGGAGGATGGAATTTGCTTTGGTTTAAAAACTGGGTGCAACTTTCTGTTATTCAGGGATTTAGGGATAAAAGAACAACGAGGAAGAGAGAAGCCCATCCAAGGGTGCAGAAGATTGTCCTAGGGGACAGGCACTTACCTTCCACAACGTCGATCATGCACAGACCCAGTAAACTTGGCACCAAATTGGCCACCGCTGTGTGCACGGCGATGGCCCCCCCCATGCTGTGCCCGATCAGCATGATGGGGGGAGGAAGGTCCCCATACAGAGCTTCCACCACGTTCCCGACGTCTCTGCCAAATCCAGATAAAAGCACGGTTGGCTTCTCTACCTCGACACATTTCTGAAGCAGGTTTGTACATTGGAAGGAAAAAGGACAGATCCAAGAGCTCCAAATCCTCTCTGTGTGCTCATTTAGGGAAGTCATCGTGCCTCTGTACTCGGCACTGGTGAGGCCTCACCTCGAGTACTGTGTTCAGTTTTGGGCCCCTCACTACAGGAAAGACATTGAAGTGCTGGAGCGTGTCCAGAGGAGAGCCACCAAGCTGGTGAGGGGTCTGGAGAACAAGTTCTGTGAGGAGAGGCTGAGGGAACTAGGCATGTTTAGTTTGGAGAAGAGGAGGCTGAGGGGAGACCTCATTGCCCTCTACAACTACCTGAAAGGAGGGTGTAGAGAGGCAGGTGTTGGCCTCTTCTCCCAAAGGACGAACGACAAGACCAGAGGAAATGGTCTGAAGTTGGGGCAGGGGAGATTTAGATTAGATATTAGAAAGAATTACTTTCCTGAGAGAGTGGTCAGGCACTGGAACAGCCTGCCCAGGGAGGTGGTGGAGTCACCATCCCTGGAGGTATTTAAGAAACGTCTAGACATGACTCTTCAGGGCCTGCTCTAGTGCCCAAGGTTATTGGTTTACGGTGAGGTGTTGAGTGTGGGGTTTAGTTGGTGGGTACGGTGTTTTTGGTGGGCGTTTGGTGTGGTGTGGTGTGTGGTGGTGTTTTTGTTTTTGGTTTTTTTGTGGTTGGACTCGATCTCAGAGGTCCCTTCCAACCACTAAGATTCTGTGATTTAACCCACAGGTAATTGAGATAAGTTTATTTTCTTATCACTGTTTCATCCAGGCACCAATGCAGGAAATCCTTCAAGCCAATACTTTCCTAACAAGCATGTCATTTCCCTTTTTATTAACAGAAAACGTTCATTTAGAAGAAATGCCTGAAGAACCTTTTACGCTGACATTTGCTGATAGGAATTTCACGTAAAAGGTGAGAAAGCTGTCAAATCCTCTCGCAGGAAAGCGCAGATGAAGAAATTTACTGTTCCGAGAGGAGAAACCTTTTGCAATTAAAGAGGGAAAATACCTGAGCCCTACTGAGCAAGGCAGAGATAAATAACATTCAGCCAAGCACAAAGTTATTCGGATTTTCTATGAGCACAGAAACAAGGGGCAACTTCTCCTCCTTTCCATAAGGCACCTGCTTTAAACTGAAGCTGTCACTTGTAAGTGAAAGTATTCACAAAACCCAAAACATCAGCAGAGCTGGTGACTGAACTCTACTGAAGGAGCACTGTAGTTGACGACACCCAAATTAAACGAGTGGTGTTCCTCAGGGGTCTGTATTGGGACCAGTACTATTTAACATCTTTGTTGAAGACAAAGGCCAACAGCATCCTGGCCTGTATCAGGAACAGCGTGGGGAGTAGGGCCCGAGAGGTGATTGTCCCCCTGTACTCAGCACCGGTGAGGCCTCACCTTGAGTACTGTGTCCAGTTTTGGGCCCCCTACCATAAAAAAGACATTGAGGTGCTGGAGCGGGTCCAGAGAAGGGCAACAAAGATGGTGAGGGGTCTGGAGAATAAGTCTTATGAGGAGAGGCTGAGGGAGCTGGGGTTATTCAGCCTGGAGAAGAGGAGGCTGAGGGGAGACCTTCTTGCTCTCTACAACTCCCTGAAAGGAGGGTGTAGAGAGGTGGGGGTCGGTCTCTTTTCTCAAGTCACAGGCGACAGGACGAGAGGAA